GCACGCAACTGAAAGGGAGTCGAGATGAGCTGACAAGGCTGTGGGCTACTGGTTATGTCTCTTACTCTCCATTCTTCTGAATAGCTCCTCACAGCCTTCATTTCCTAGGCTGCTTTTTTCTCGGTTTTCTTCATGAGCAGTCGAGAACTCAACACTGGGCATGCACTTCTACTATGATAGATTTGTGCTGAAAGTGGAAAACTCTGCTTGTGTTCAGGGTCAACCTTCCCTAAGTTCAACCACATTCATACAGGGTGTAAAGGTAAAACATTCTCTGAGTGAGATCCTGAGTTTTCTCCCAGGTTTTCCTGCCTAACAGCACCTGAGAACAGGCAGACACATTTAACACACTCGTTTCTTTTTTCCTTTTCCTTCTTGCCCATCCCTCCTGCAGCGATATAATTTGGGGTATGAGATATGAAGATCTTCCCTTATCCCTCTCCGGTTTCTCCTCATCTGCTGTCCCTCTTTTCCCAGTTACTGCCTGAGGTTTCTCCGAACAGGCCTTCTCATACATTTCAGGCCACAGCGTTATACTTGTTTGGAGGAAGACAAAGGACAAGGAAAGCTGAAGTCACAAAAACTCTACTTCTGCTACTTCCTATCTCCCCTCCATAAAGGAGGTAGCTAAAGGAGTGACTGGAAGGCCACCTGCTAAGAAAGGAGAGAGGACCCCACTTTGTAGACATCAATTTATATAGTGGGTTGTGGGATTTGTAAGAAAAATAGAACCTCATACAATCAGAATTTAGTTTTCTTGTCCAGGTCTCCACAGTAGGTGCAGAGCTAGAACTAGAACCCAAAACGACTTGGATCTAAAGTGAATGGTCTTTCCCCTATACCAGTGGTTCTCAAACTGTGGGTCACGACCCCTTTTTAACAATGAAAATACACCGTGGCATTAGGAAGGTTGAGAACCACTGCACTATGCTATGCTGCTTTTTATTGTCTTCAAACTGGAGACAATTTCCTTTCCATCAACTGACAGGAACCCTCTATTAACAGGGGCGGGTGATATTCCAGGCCCTCCAATGATCCGCAGCTGATCTTCCCAATCAGCCCAGCCTTTTGCCAAACCACTGCTCTGAAACTGAGGAATAAGGAAAGACCAGAAACTCATTTAGGGAAAAGATAAATGTAACAGAAGTTTCTTCCTGATAGACAGTGTAGTAGTGGGGAAACTACTTGTCTTAGACTACAAGATCTGGGTTTGAATCTGGATTGGGCCATGTTATGTGAATCATTTTAAGATATTACTAAAATTCTCTGAGTGCAATATGAGGATTTAGGAGTGACATGACCTGAATTACCTTACACAGATATTATGAGAATCCAAATATTTACCCATATATTAAATGTGATTATAATTCAACTATTTGGCATTTAGATGAAATAACTTAGAATAATGGCTAACATGAGGTAGATGTTTGATAAATCCTAGTTATTTTAGTTAATTATTCCAATATGTTTTCAATTCTCATCTTCAAACCATCCCTTTAACTCTACACTTCTATTTCTTTTCCTCTTCTCTGCTGTTCTCTAGCTCCCTTCTCGATGAAGCTGTTATATAAAAGGAATAAGATTTTGGATCTAATGAGATCTTCTCTGATTTAGGTTTCAGATAATGCAGTTTTCAGCCCATGTAATATATTGACTCAAGATGTCTAGTGACAGGTACTTGAAGGAGTATTCATTGAGAAAGTTAAAGTTAGGTTTCACAAAGCCTCTAGGACACACAATCATACATTCTCATTCTCTCTCTCTCCCTCTCTCTCTCTCTCACACACACACACATGCACACACACGGGAAACACTATTAAGATTAAGACCTTTAATTTGTAGATAATTAAATCAATCATTAAATGTAACTTAATGGGACTAAACAATTTCTAGTTATTTGGGAATTATATTTAAAATTAGTGCACTTCACCAACACAATGAATTTATTTTATGGTAAAATACTTTCAATTTCAAGTAAAATATTTCTAAAATCTTGATGTGAAAGTTGCTCATTGTTTTCCATTTATACATATTTAAAGACATTCTCAAAACCAAAGTCAAGTAGTAATTTCCAATCAAGGCTGATGAAACTTGCAAATACATTTTAATTGATATTGGATAATGTTGCCTTGGCATATTCACCTATTGATTTTCTAACTTCTACTAATGCTTATTTTTATACATTGTTAAAGGAGAGAGCACACATAGTAGGTAGCTCAAGGATATGGTTCTGCATCAGAAGTGAACTTTAAACCTAACTGCTCTGTTACCAGAACTTTAGCTTTATAAGTCCTTTTGTGAAATCAATTTCTCAGATGTGTGATATGATGACCAAGCACTACCACAAAAACTTTTCTCTTATTTAACCAATATTTAAAGCCCTGTGAAAAGCACCCTTTCAATTTATTTTAAAGTTTTTGAAAGGCCACCATCTATGACTATGTGTCATTAAGTCCCCATATATGTATATAAAGTGTTGTTTGAAGATCCCTTATGATCCCCAGTTTTTAAGACATAAAGTGTCCCCTAGAAAAAAAGTTCAGCTCAGTTCCACTAATTCCAGACAATATGACATGCTTACATGACAGCAAACTGGGATTCCAAACACTCACCAGTCCATCACTGCACAAAAGGCCAAGACATTAGCAGAGGAGACTGATGGATAAAGTTAATATAGAGGTCCAGGATTACAGAGGGCTGTTGTATAACAGCATCACATATGCTATCTTGTGAATCCATGCAATAAAGGAACAATATTTGCAAGCAAGTGGAAAGCAGTCACAGGAAAAGCAGTGGAAAAGATATGTTCGACACAGCAGTTGGACAGTGCTCCTAATTTTGATGTGTCCACTTAAGCCCGTATAATCCTATAATTGCCATTCTTTGGCAGTTAGCAGGTTTGGAATTTTGTTCTAAAACTCATCCATTCCCATTTGAAATCCCTCACTTGAAATCCATGCTTGAAACAGCCAGTGAAGAGGTTTGACGGCCACTACTTGCACTGTGCTTCCCCCTTCCTATTCAGACTCTGTCAAGCAGAAGCCCATATTTTCCAGTAGCTGCTGGAGGCCTCCATCCACCTGCTGTCTGCAGCAGCAAACACCAAAAGGAACAGCAGCAAACCTGTAAATCCTGACCAGCAGAAAAGGTGTTCAGGACACGTGGCAGGGGCTGCAACCAGTGAGGACAGACAGACTGACACCCAGACAGACAGACAGCAGCACCATCAGACACCATCCATTACTTCCAGCCTCAGAAGAGGGGAAGCCTGCAGCACTAGGGACGTCATTCTTCCACTAGGGACAGACAGCAGATTAACAAGGGTTCTGCCTCCTGCAAGCCAGCAGGCTTAAAGTATTTGTTTTTTGGATGAGAAGGAGCAGGGAATCAGAAACCTGCTGCTTTTTATAGAACCAGGCCAGCCCTGGCCTTCTGAGTTAATGGCCCTTTTCTGAATGCACAATGAAAGGCAGGAGGGTCTGGATTTTGACTATTTTAATGTGGCCCTGTACCCACATCTCTCCCTCAACAGCCCCCATCATCTGGGGGGCAGCTGCACGGTTCGGGGACCCCTCAGTTTGTGACTGCAGCCTCTGTTCCTTCCTCCCCTGGGAGGGACTGCTGCACTGAGGGGAAGGGAGAGAACCCTCTGTAGCAGCACCTTCTCTTCAGCAGGAGGCAATCCTGGGGCAGGGGGAGAGGCCAGCGAACTGTGCGCCCTGCCTGGGTGTCACCGGTGCTCCCTTCCTACCCCTTCCTTGCTATCAGATAACTCCAGATGCAACAGGTTCCCTCTGGCTCTTCATGCCAATCCCCTGCCCCCTGAAACACCTCACACCCTATGAAGGGAACGCCAAGAAACTAGTCCCATTTGGGGCCTTTGCATTCCCCTGCCTCAGCCTGGAAAACTTTCCTGAATACATGAAGACTTTCCAGGGAAGGCGGGGTTCAAGTCCCCTTCAGCTCACTCTCTGGGCAATGCTAAGGAGGGAAAGCTCAGCCTCTCTGCCAGCTGCCGGAGAAGTAGTTTTGTCTGAGGCAAGCAGCAGCACAGTGCCACACACTCCTGCACCACTAGCAGTGAGCCCCAGAATCTCCCCATCCCCGGGAAAATGGGGAACCAGACCGAGATCCCTCAAAAGGGTGATAGGCTCTAAAGAAACGGGGTGCACGCAAACACTCCATCCCTCACTGGACTGCTCCCTCCAGGAACCGAGCAGGCCCCAGAGGTGTCTCTTGGAAACCAGGAAAGAGGAACCTCTATTTTATTCAGGCCAGAGTCCTCGTCAGCTCCTTCCATGATTAAAAACTTTGTATTGCCATTGGCATTTCATATGGGTAAGAAAATTCGCCTTCACACAGGTATTCTGTGCAGAAGACTGTGAATAAAAAAGGTTAAAGCGGAGCTGGGGAGGCAGTTACCAAAGATGGCAACTGCCCAAAAAAAGACCCAACCTGATCTGTGAAATGAATGAGTAGCAAAATGAACACTAAAAATAAGCGTTTTTATTATATAAATACAGGCACTCTTAAGCGGGGGCAGGTAACCTCGACCTGCTAAACAACTCGAAAAGAGAAGAGGAGCTGTCCTCGGCACCTCCTCATGCCGCCTCCCCAGTCTTGCGATCACCCCCGCCACCTAACCTGCTCCCAGCCCAGGGGCCTTCCACTTGGGGCGTGGGGAGGTCTGCGCTTCTCAGCTTCCGTACGCCCCACCGGCAGGGTGGCCCCTGTCCACTCAATCCTCCTCTGCACCCCACTCTCCGGCCAGCCTCTCCCGGCTCCCGGGTTTCTGGCCGTGGCGTCCCCTCCTTCCTCCGGCCCCCTGACCTCTTCCCTGCTCAAGCCCAGCGCCCCCGGCCCCAAAGCGGGGGCCGCCGCCCGCACCCAGCGTACCGGCCCGCCCCTCCCCCACACTCAGCCGCGAGGACGGGGTGAGCGAGCGGTGCACGGACGGATGGAGGCACCGAGGCACGATGGCGCGGCCGGGGGCGGCTTACTTGAGCATGGCCTCTTCTTTCTCCTCCTCCTCCTTCTGCCGGTCCATCACTGCCATGATAATGTTTCTCTCCTCCTCGGTCAGGTGGCTCAGGTCGGGCAGCTCTTGCATCGGGGGAGGCACCGTGGGTGGGCGAGGACCGCGGGGCCCCACGGCCGAGGACATCTTCGTGGCCTGCCCGCCCCCTCCGCCCGCTCGCTGGCTCTCACCTTTCGGGTGCACGCCCGGCAGCTGCGCCCC